TATGTGGGAAGTCACTGACAGAGCTCACACTCTATAGAAGATATATAGGTCATATAGATCACAGAGGACCATATGTCTAATGTCCTGCAACAATCCACTCACCACCTGTGCTATGGATAACAGGAATGAAAGAGAAATCCTTCATAGGTACTGCCATACAGGGCCAAGGCGGCCAAGGAACCACCGCTGACATCCGCCGATATACCGCGGGTTCCAGCCCCTTCTCGGCGCTTGTGCTGCTTAGGCTTGCCTCATGGCTTGTGAAGATGGCTTCCTCCTTATGGGTCAGCGTGCGTTCCACCTAGTGCGCATGACCGGAAGTGACGTAGCTAAAGGGGTGTAACCACATTAACTCTAGAAATTCTGAAGGACCCTCTGTACACTGGTATATACCCTTTCAAGCAAACTATGCAATAAATAGGGATATTTGGTTCACACATATTGCAATACATGCTTAAGCTGGCCAACTGCGTCAAAGTAATCCCTCTATGGCCAGTCCTACTCCTACTTGGTTGGAATCGGATTTAAGGAGCTGTCCCTGTATGCTGGATTGGTTCTGCTGCGAGGTCTGAAGTGCTTCCTTTGTATGTGCCAGTGGAGCCCCCCTTGTCTGTGACCAGATCCATGATGACCACCAGGGTCCCCCCGGATGATATTATTATATGTGCATTTAACTTGCGCTTCCGGTGAGTGCAAGCATACCTCATTTCCTTACCACAAGTCACATGCACCGAAATTTGGTTCTACGCTCTTTTAGAACTTTTCTGTCACTGAAAATACTGTTATGATTTGGAGCATCATATCGTTTACCTTTTGATCTCATCCATTCACAAGTTCATTGGACTAATTTTTGGAGCACAAAATTGAGTCAATCGTTCTATATGTTATTATAGATCACAAGATATTGATTCATTTCATATTCATTTTATATGGTTTATAACCATACTGTTGATCACTACCATATTTGTCACTATATTGATTATTTTTAATTCATCCATTCACATCTGCACTCGTCACCTTGCTGACGATATTTCTTGGATTTCACTATTACTGCACAATCAATTTTTGCGCATTTTGCACCAAGTCACTTTATTTACAGCGCTGCATATTTGTTTTATGGTTTAACCAGTGCTCTGCTGAAGCCTTGCTTTTACTTTATTTTTCTAAATCACCTTGGTCCTCTTCTCTTCACCACTTCATGACCCTTGGGAATCCCCCCCTCCTCTCCTTCACCCTTTGCTCCTCTATACCACAAAGGATATCAGCACACAGTAAGCCCCAGCCACTCTCTCACCCTTTTCTTTCAACGTTCTTCAGGTGGAGGGCTTTTCTCAGATGCTCAGTCCTCAGGAGGATTCCTCCGGGTCTCCTGGGCCTTTCTTTTATAGCCCACTTATATTTGGGGTCCATCCTTTAAAAGCAAGCTGGGTCTCCTGGGTCTAAGCCCGTACAGCAAGCCGGGGAACGAAGCCAGGAGCGAACCGGCACCTTCTGCTCTCCTCAGGATGCCGGCCGGCTTCTTTTCCTCCCAGTGATCCTCCGCGGCTTACCACGTGGTCCCGCCTCGTCACCTCATCTCCCAGCAACCCAGCTCATCGTCACGTGAAGCTCGGGGGGATGGATCTCCTTCTCCACCTCACCGCTCCTCACATCACCGACGCTCCGGCTGCTCCACTAATGCCCCCCGCACTCCGGTGAGTCTGCCCCTCCTTAACATGCATCTAGAGTGCCCCTGGGGAGGTCGGGAAGTGGAGCCTAGCGGGAAGCTACTGCTTCGCGCTCTTCTCGGTCGTCATGTTCAGGCTCCTCCCCTCCGATAGGTAAATGTTCTGTTCTGTTAATTAATATTATGCGGAGACAGTTTGTCAGATGACCCCCCAAACACTGAATCCAAGCCACAGTACACTGTGAAGACAGTGAAGCATGGTTGTGCAAGCATCATGATATGGGGATGTTTCTCATACTACGGTGTTGGGCCTATTTATCGCATGCCAGGGATCATAGATCAGTTTGAATACATCAGAATACTTGAAAAGGTCATGCTGCCTTATGCTGAAGAGGAAATGCCCTTGAAATGGGTGTTCCAACAAGACAATGACCCCAAACACACCAGTAAACGTGCAACATCTTGGTTTCAGACCAACAAGATTGACGTTATGGAGTGGCAAGCCCAATCTCCGGATCCTAATCCAACAGAAAACTTGTGGGGTGACATCAAAAATGCAGTTTCTGAGGCAAAACCAAGAAATGGAGAAGAACTGTGGAATATAGTCCAATCATCCTGGGCTGGAATACCTGTCACAGGTGCCAGACGTTGGTTGACTTCATGCAACACAGATGTACAGCAGTTCTCAGAAACAGTAATTATACAACTAAATATTAAGTAAGTGATTCAAAGGAAAGCAAAATCTTCAAACATTTTTCAGTTTATATAGTGAATGTTTGAGTTTGTAAAGAAGAATACAAACACTGCTATTTTTTTTAACACAACTGTATATATGTGATTTTGCATCTCCGGGTAGGGGGTGCACGAAAGGCTTGCGCGTGCCCTACCCGTGCCGCCGTTCGCGGGTCCTGGTTGGTGATTAGTCGCTGGCGCCCGGTGATTGCCCAGCATCTCCGATGGGGGAGAGAACGGTTTGTAAACAAAACAGTTCTCTCCTCTGTCAGTTCTTGCACACGGCTTTGCATGGCTGTGCATAGCACAGCCATGCAAAGCAGTGTGCTTACAGTAAAGCACAAACACACAGCCCACCAGTAAAACAGTACACAGTTAACCCTTTGATTGGCCCACATTAACCCCTTCCTGCCCAGTGCCATTAGTACAGTGTCAATACTTTTTATTAACACTGATCACTGTATTGGTGTCACTGGAGATGACAATGACACCAAGTCCGTTCCCCACAGTGTCAAAATGCCTGCCACAGTCCCACTATAAGTTGCTGATCACCGCCATTACTAGTAAAAAATTTTAAAAATCCCAGTATACAGTATTTCACAGAAGTGAGTACACCTCTCACATTTTTGTAAATATTTTATTATATCTTTTCATGTGACAACACTGAAGAAATGACACTTTGCTACAATGTAAAGTAGTGAGTGTACAGCTTGTATAACAGTGTAAATCTGCTGTCCCCTCAAAATAACTCAACACAGCCATTATTGTCTGGCAACAAAAGTGTGTACACCCCTAAGTGAAAATGTCCAAATTGGGCCCAAAGTGTCAATATTTTGTGTGGCCACCATTATTTTCCAGCACTGCCTTAACCCTATTGGGCATGGAGTTCACCAGAGCTTCACAGGTTGCCACTGGAGTCCTCTTCCACTCCTCCATGTTGACATCACTTCTGTGAGATACTGTATATATGCCTCCAAGCCACAAACAGCACACATATCAGTGATCCGCACTGGAGGCTGAAGAACATAAAAATCAATGTAACCTAATAAGCATATGAGTGGGTCCACTTCTGTGAGATACTGTGTATACTACCATTTGAACATGCTATAAATTTAACGTAAACCAATTAATTTACATGTATTGGAATTTTGTTTTTAGCAAAGACGTGTAGCAGAATACATTTTGGCCTAAATTTATGCCGAAATTAGATTTTTAAACTTTTTTTTACTGGACAAGTTTAACGACTTGCCCTCCTGAGGATTTACTCCCCCCCCCCCCTCCTGACCAGGCCTCTTTTTGCTACTTGGCGCTGCACTAATTCAACTGATAATTGCGTGGTCATGCAATGCTGCTCCCAAACGAAATTTACATCCTTTTTTTCACAAAAATAGAGCTTTCTTTCGGTAGTATTTGATCACCTGTGCGCTTTTTATTTTTCACGCTATAAACAAAAAAATACCAAAAATTTTGAAGAAAAACAATATTTTTTTACTTTCAGCTATAAAAAAAAATATATAGTAAACTCAACGTGATCCCATGTAGTCTGGGCATCTGGGGGGCTCCACGTGTCTTTTTCCTTGTAAATCCGAAAATTGTTGCCCTCTCACATGTCTTATACATTTTGAATCCATAACTGGCACGCTTGCTGGGGAGAAATTGTTTGAATGCAAGGCAGCCAGAAAAGTTAATGCAGAATTTCTGGGCTGCCAATCGGGATTTGCAAGCACATCCGGAAGGATACTAGGGGCTTTACGGGCCTGTGTGCGAGTTCTTGGTGGTTGCGGGACAATACTTGTGCTCGCCACCGCACCAGCTTGTACAGCACTTATGGGACTCACCACATCACCAAGTGATACTGCAGTGTGTATAGAGAACCCTCAGCACAATAAACCTCCTTAAAAAACAAATTGTGCGGCTAGCATATAAATGTGTTCCCACATATAAACCATAAATCAATGAAAAAAATGCAGCACAGCAATATAAACATAGATATGGTGCTAATAATATTAAACGTGCATATATGAATAGTGAAAACAAAAATTGTGCTTGTGACAATAAATGTATGCTACACCAAATGTCTTGCCAATGCATACACATAGGTAACTATAGAACTGCACATAACCAGTGCTAAAAATTAATTGTGCACACAAATACCAGATGAAATGTTCTTAATAGTGGACTGTCCCTTTAAATCTTAAATATCTGCACGTGAGCTTGTGTGGTATATCTCCTATGTATCGTGATCCAAATTCACCAGCAACATGTGTCTTATAAATATGGTCTAAAAAAAATGGTGAACCGTCCCTTTAACCACCTCCCGCCCGCCATATAGTCCAATGACAGGCGCAAGGTGGTTCTCTCGTTCTGGGAGGACGTCATATGACGTCCTTCTATTCTCACCGAGCATGCGCGGCTCCGAGAGGGTGCAGCGCGGTGATCAGCGGTGTGCTGTGTACCTCAGACACAGCAAATCACCGATCAACGGAAAGAGTCGAAGACATGTGATCAGCTGTGTCCAATCACAGCTGATCACATGTCAACAGGGAAATGCCGGTTATCGGCATTTCTCTCCTCTCAAGCTGTCACGCTGACAGCTCGAGAGGAGAGGAGAGCCGGAAACTGGCATTCCGCGGAGGGGACATGTACACTGATCATTAGGGCCCTGATGATCAGTGTGGCCCCAGAAGTGCCACCTGTCAGTGTCCATCAGTGCTGAACAGTGCCACGTGCGAGTGCCCATCAGTGCAACATCAGTGCCACATATCAGTGCCTACCAGTGCACATCAATGCCACATATCAGTGCCCATCTGATCTGCCTTCCAGTGTCACCCATCAGTGCCAGTCAGTGCGACCTATCAGTGATGCCAATAAGTGCCAGTCAGTGCCACCTAACAGTGCCCATCAGTGCCGCCTATCAGTGCCATATATCATTGCTGCCTTTCAGTGCCCATCAGTGATGCCTGTCAATGCCCATCAGTGCCACCTACCAGTGCCTCCTCATCAGTGCCACCTATCATTGTAGCCTATCAGTGCCCATCACTGCAGCCTCATTAGCGCACATAAGTGAAGGAGAAAAATCACTTATTTACAAAATTTTATAACAAGAACTAAGAAAAAAAATTTTTTTTTCAAAATTTTCAGTGGGTTTTGGTTTAAGAAAAAAATAAAAAACCCAGAGGTGATTAAATACCACCAAAATAAAGCTCTGTCACAAAAAATTATAATTTCATATGGGTACAGTGTTGCATGACTGCGCAATTGTCACTCAAAGTGTGACAGCGCTGAAAGCCTGAAATTGGCCTGGCCAGGAAGGGGGTATAAGTGCCCTGTAGGTTAGCGGTTAAATCAGCTATACGTCAAGTGGATCAGTGTAATCACACTACTGCATAAACGTATACGGTGCTCCTGTGTCACCCCTTAGTGCTCATCCACCTCCAACATACTATTGTGCTCACCTCCAAGTTTGACCTGAACTGTCAGGTCAAACTGCGCTTTTCCCTACTGGTACACAGATATTCACCACCGTTAACCAGCACTTTTAAATATCTCCAGAACGCTCCACAACCATGTGAAAAAAATGCTCCATATAGTATAGTATTGCCAGTAAAAAACAGTCTTTATTAAAATAATAAGTAAACTCACATTTAAAAGTGTCCTCCTGGGACACTACAGGATAAAAACTCACTATACAGTGTGTCTTGTAAGCAATGTGCAGGAATCCCTTTTCCAAAATGGCGGCATGCGCACTTCCGGTTTGCGGACTGAGATCATTGGGTACGAAGTGGTTAAAGCTACATAGGCCCATAAAACAGCAACAAACTTCAGTGCTCTAAGTTTTCCAAAGACAATGCTTTAACTGCTTGCCATCCAGCCACTGTAGAAAAACGGCCACAAGGTGGCGGCTGGGCAAAATCAAGTTTTAAAATGTGATATTGCAAAACAGGTAGGGGGCGCGCAACCGCCCTACCCATTCCGCCGATCGTGGCCGCGGGTGTCGATTGCCGGCAAACAGTGACACAAAGCACAGCTGCATTGTTTACAATGCAGCTCTGCTCCCTGCCAGTTCCTAACACGCTGATCCTGAGAGCTGAGTTTCTCTCTTGGGATCAGTGTGTTCCTGTGAAGCACACAACCCCGCCCCCTAGTAAAACACTCCCCTCACACAAACCCTTTCATTGCCTAAAAAAGTTAACCCCTTCCTCCCCAGTGCCATTAGTACAGTGTCAGTGGTTTTTTTTTTTGCACTGATCACTGTATTGGTGTCAATGGGTATGTCAGTGACCCCAAGTCAGTTCCCCCCCCAGTGTCAAATGTCTGCCGCAGTCCCGCCATAACTCGCTGATCACTGTCATAAATCGCTGATCACCGCCATAAGTCGCTGATCGCCACCACTATTAGTATAAAAAAAAAAAATCCCAGTATCTTTCCCGCCATTTGTAGACGCTATAACTTTCACGTAAACCAATTTGCACGTATTGGGATTTTTTTTCTTTTCTTAGCATGTCGCAGAATACATTTTGGCCAAAATTTATGACGAAATTTTGATTTTTAAATTTTTTTACTGGACATGTTTTATAGCAAAAAGTCCAATATATTGTTTTTTTTTTCTCAAAATTGTCAGCCTTTTTTTTTATAGCGCAAAAAAATAAACACACAGGCGATCAAATACCACCGAAAGAAAGCTCATTTGTGGGGAAAAAAGGATGTAAGTTTAATTCGGGTGCAGTGTTGCATGACCGCGCATTTGTCAGTTAAAGTAACGCATCAATGTAACACAAACCGCTTCTGTAACCGCTTCCTGACCGCCCTATAGCAGAAATACTGCTACAGGGCAACATGGGTGCGCAAAATCACACATATATATATATATATATATATATATATATATATATATATATATATATATACACAGTTGCAAGAAAAAGTATGTGAACCCCTTGGGATTACGTGGAGTTTTGCATGAATTGGGCATAAAATGTGCTCTTAACGTCATCTAAGTCACAACAATAGAAGAACACAGTCTGCTGAACATAATACTACACAAACATTAGATGTTGCCATGGTTTAATTGCACATACCATGTAAACATTCACAGTGCAGGGAGGAAAAAGTATGTGAGGCCCTAGCTTAATGACTTCTCCCAGAGCTAATTGAAGCCAGCAGTGAGCCAACCTTGACTCCAATCAGTGTAATGATATTGGATGTGTTGCTGACAGCTGTCCTGCCCTTAAAAAACAACACGCACCTGTTTTGAGTTTACAGGTTTCAAGAAGCACGGTCTGATGTGAACCATGCCTCGCAAAAAAGAGCTCTCAGAAGACCTACGATCAAGAATTGTTGACTTGCATGAAGCTGGAAAGGGTTACAAAAGTATCTCCAAAAGCCTTGATGTTCATGTGTCCACGGTAAGACAGACTGTCTACAAATGGAGAAAGTTTAGCACTGTTGCTACTCTCCCTAGGCGTGGTCGTCCTGTAAAAATTACTGCAAGAGCACAGCGCAGAATGCTGCATGAGGTAAAGAAGAATCCCAGAGTGTCAGCTAAAGACCTACAGAAATCTCTGGCACATGCTAACATTTTTGTTGACACATCTACAATAAGGAAAACATTAAACAAGAATGGAGTACATGGAAGGACAGCACGGAGGAAGCCATTGCTGTCCAAAAAGAATATTGCAGCACGTTTGAAGTTTGCAAAAGAGCACCTGGATGGTCCACAGCGCTACTGGCAAAATATACTGTGGACAGATGAAACCAAGATTGAGTTGTTTGGGAAGAACACACAACACTATGTGTGGAGAAAAAAAGGCACAGCACACCAACATCAAAACCTCATCCCCACTGTAAAACATGGCGGAGGGAGCATCATGGTTTGGGGCTGCTTTGCTGCCTCAGGGCCTGGACGGATTGTTGTCATTGATGGGAAAATTAATTTCCAGAGTTTATCAAGACATTTTGCAGGAAAACGTACAACCATCTGTCCACCAACTGAAGCTCCGCAGAGGATGGGTGATGCAACAGGACAATGACCCAAAGCATACAAGTAATTCAACAAAACAATGGCTGCAACAGCACAGAATACGCCTTCTGGAGTAGCCCAGTCAGAGTCCTGACCTCAACTCGATTGAAATGCTGTGGCATGACCTTAAGAGAGCGATTCACATCAGACATGCCAAGAATATTGCTACACTGAAACAGTTTTGTGAAGAGGAATGGTCCAAAATTACTCCAGATCGTTGTGCAGGTCTGATCTGCAACTACAGGAAACAATTGGTTGAGGTTATTGCTGCCAAAGAAGGGTCAACCAGTTATTAAGTCCAAAGGTTCACATACTTTTTCGTCCCTGCACTGTGAATGTTTACATGTTATGTGCAATTAAACCATGGCAACATCTAATGTTTGTGTAGTATTATGTTCAGCAGACTGTGCTCTTCTATTGTTGTGACTTAGATGACGTTCAGAGCATATTTTATGCCCAATTCATGCAAAACTCCACGTAATCCCAAGGGGTTCACCTACTTTTTCTTGCAAATATATATATAAAAAATATTTTCACGCCCCTCCCAGATAGCGCCAGATTGCCCGTCAGTACACCAGTCATCACATTTAACCCCTTGATTGCCAGGAGCACACTCATGCACAATAAACCTCCATTGCTAGTATAGTGTCTGAATGGATCAATATCTTTGATCAGATCAGCACTATACCAGCGTTAACATTAGTATAGCGTCCCCCAAAAAACACAGTGTTAGTGGGATCAGCCCCGGCACCTGCCAGCACCTGCGTTTAGCCCCTACGCTTACCCCCCCTTCTCCCCCAGCAAGTGCAGTGTTAGTAGGTCATTGTCACTTGATACATTGCACACAAAACCACAGTGTTCGCAGAATCAGGCCTGATCTCTGTTAGCACTTGACGGTAAATTTTGATGACTCTCATATGCAGCAGAGTGCCAGTACTAGTGCCGCGCAACCTTTTGGTGAACTGGCGAGTACCAGCGGTCTAGTACATCTTGGTCCTTCACATACCTCCTTGATTTTTTGGTCTGTTTTTCACTGAATATCTGTATGGGTTGATTTTGGATCAAAGCAATTTATATGCACAATTTATCGCTGCCAACCCAAATTCAAACCTTGCCAGACCAGTCGCATGGAAACTCATCATGGTTTCCGAATTTACATTTTTTTTTGGGCCTAACCCTCAACATGGGCATTACTAAAAGAAATGAATTGCAGTTGTATTGGTCCGCAGGCCCGATTCATCATATGCCCGTGTTCTCTGCTGCCATGGCCAGGCATAGATATAAGAGCATAATGTGTTTTATGCATTTCAACGACAATACACTCCTCGGGGTAACCCTGAATTCGACTGGCTCCACAAAATTCAGCTTCTCGCAAATCACCTTAACCAAAAATTTGCAGAGGTCTATACTCCCCAGCAAAAAAATCTGCGTTGACGAGTCACGGATTAATTTTTCTGGCTGCCTTGCATTCAAACAATTTCTCCCCAGCAAGCGTGCCAGATATGGGGTCAAGATGTAGAAGACCTGTGAGAGGACAACAGGCTATACTTATAAGTTTCGGATTTACGAGGGAATAGTCACGTGGAGCCCCCCGGATGCCCAGACTACATGGGGAGCAGTGGCAAGATAGTTTGGGACTTGGTGTCATCCTTTTT